TTGCTTCCACCACTTTACATTAAACTTGGTTTGATTAAACAGTTTGTAAAAGCATTTCGACCTGACCCACGGTGATTATTTCATGTTTAGATATCGAGGTCATGATTTATATAGGTTTTAAGCATATAAAAAAATCGTAAGGACACAAAAAATTACTTTTTAAGAAAAAAGTCAATTCAAAAATCACGTTTTTTTTGTTTATTTTCGATTTTTCAATGCTTTAATATTGTCGGAGGTATTTTTAACCAACACCATCGAAAAGAGCATCGTTAAAAACATAGAAACACTGGTTATCGAACATTTTTTCGTCGCACTCATTACGTGAGCATTTATGGGTTAATGTGACGTGGTATACACCATATGAATATCGTTTTCTATTACTTTCAAGACAATTACGACAAATATTAACAGACCTGTGTTGTGCTTATAAAAATTAGTGTACAACATGTAAGTAAAATTAACAAAATTGTAATTTTTAACTTCTCATTTATATATTTGTTGTGATCTCCTGATGAAGCCAAGAATGTTTGAGAAAGAAGAACAAATTTGAGAGTTAATAAATGTAACACAGCCCATCGTTTTGTTCACAAGAATTTACCCACCAACACCCTCAATTAATTATCTTTAAATATCTTTGACAATAATTAACTTGTATTGCTTAATATTACAACTGTAGCCTCTTGAGAACCCTTTCAGCCTCATAAACCCTGTTTTTTTCATATTAAATGAGAAGTGCAATTGAATGTTTTAATTTTTAAGCGAATGTGTTTTTTTTTTTAATATTTACCTAATATATTTGTTTTACGTGAAGTACCCGTTCGGACTTGTTAAGTTCTGTAACGTAATTAATAGAGTTTACACTGTTAACATAAGCAGGAACAGTAGTACAGGCAATCATCGGCAATTTCAATTAAAACACTCGTCGAATTCGATACAGAACGTCATAGCTGTATTTGCCGACCGCTAAAATTTACGCTCCCGTCCCCAGTTAAGTGCTGTCAAACAAAGCGAACGTGTTTGCGTAGCAATATTTGATTGGGTTCGACGTAAGTTTCACATCGTAATGGAAAGTCTACTATGTGTGAATGTTCGACCGGATACGCTCGTTGATAGATGGTTTTCCAACGTGTCGCTCGGTAATTATTTGAGTATTAGTTTTATTGAGTATTACATTGTTTACGTTCATTGTTACCCCGGATTAATGGCAATTTGTTTTTCGACCTCAATTGGTTTTCACTGCAGTTGACATTTAATGCTTTTTCGCGTATTTTATTGTGAACAAACATGGCACAACAAACATATAAAGATGATTTACTGACATATATAATATCAGCATGCATTTATATAGTATATTTTTTATTTGTTGTAATGTGATGAAGCACACTATCAAATAACGCCGGCGAAAATATTATTTTAGCAATGTTTATAGAAATATTAGATCACGATGCGGTAATTACTATATTAGCCATGAGACAATCAATCAGCGGTCATAGATACGTCATAGATGGATGTCTCCAGATGATGAACAGATGGGAGTCATTTATTTATATTTATTTTGCTATCTATTTCCGTTAAAGTTCCACAAATAAGGGCAAGCATGTAGTAAACGTCTAAGTAGACATTAGAATGATTCCTATCATCATCATCATCATAAGGTCGTCAGCCCTAAGACTGGTTGAACACGCACCTCCACTCCTTCCTATCCTCAGCTAATCTTCGCATTTCCTTAACACTAGAACAGCCCACATCCTCAACCATTTGCGAACAGTAATCTAATCAAGGTCTACCTCTACCCCTCCTAACTTCTGTTTCTGCCTCTAATATGTCTCTGGCTAGACCTTCATGCCTAAGAAGGTGTCCTACTAACCTATCTCGCCTATTCCTATTGACTTCCATACGGTCCTCAGTTTTCTATTCTTTCTAATATTTCTTCATTTCTAACCTTCTCTATCCACAGTGTTCTCATCATTCGCCTGTAACACTACATTTTGAACGCTTCTAAACTTTTCTATTCCGCCGCGCTCACTGTCCATGTTTAGCACCCGTACAGCGTCCTGTCCCAAATGTACACCTTTAGCAACCTTTTTCGAATTTCTAAATTAACCGTTCGCAAGCATAGAAGTAACTGCCTTTTATTGAAGGCGATTTGATCCTGCGCTATCGTCTGTTTTATATCCCTACTACTTCTTCCGTCCTGACTTATCTGATTTTCTAGATTCCTAAAATCGGCCACTTCTAATTTTTCGTCTCCTACCTTTATATTCGTTCTTTCGCTACTTTTCCTTCCTTTGCATAGCAGTATTTTTGTGTGACTTTTATTTATTATTTTCATACAGTACTATTTTGTCAGTACCGCTTCCATTTTATTTAAAGCTATCTCTAACTCCTCCTTACTAGATACTAATACTGCTATATCATCTGCAAATGTAAGCATACTAATATTTTGCCCCTGTAGATCTATCCCTACAGTTGTACTGTCTTTAATGATGTTGATCGCGTCTTCGATGTATAAAAGTAGTGGTGACAGGGTGCATCCCTGTCTGACCCCCTTTCTAATATTTACCTCTATACGTTGCAGCCCCATCTATATAACTGCCGGTTGCTCTTTAAACAATAAAAGTATCACTCTTCTATCTTTGTAACTCATTCCTATATTTTTAAGTATATTTAACATCTTGTCCCATTTAACATTGTCAAAAGCTTTTTCTAAATCTACAAATCCTATGTACGTCCTCTGTCTTTTTCCATCGTTTTCTCTATTGTTACCCGTAAAGCTAGAATGGGCTCCCGCGTTCATCTATTTCTTCTAAACCCAAATTAATCTTCCCCTAATAGTTCTTCCGCCCTTTTTTCCATCCTCCTTTGTACAATTGTAGTTAAGATTTTTTATGCATTTTTAATTCCTATATTATTGTATTAAAATAGTTGATTGCGTTTATGCCATCGACAGTCAGTCAATCAAAAAGATAACAGTAGCAGCTGATTGGGAATTGCAGATTACCTTTTGTTTTAATGAGCTACTATCTCCACTGAAGATCTGGCCTTCTACAACTAGTTGATTGTTAAAGCGAACAATTAAAGTATAGAACTAACTGACATTCGATATCCAGCAATGTTGGAATTTTCAATTAATGATCAGCAATGCTTGGGCGTGTTGAGCATGTTTAAACGTCAACGGACAGCATTTGGTATTCTTAACACTTATAAATCCAGGGCATCAAGATATCAGAATGCATAGAAACATGTTTTGAGAACTTCTAGAATCCCTAACAATATTTCAAAAAGTTTTAATGAAAACCCATATTTGAACACGGTTAATACGTAAAATAAAACAAACGTTCATACTAAATAGAAAAAGGACGGTAAGGAAAAATGGACCATCATGTTATGGAACTCAAACGAATACTGGATTTTCGAATAAATATTTATTTGAACTGATGCTTTCCTGATTTGGGTTGAAAGACCGACGTCGGTTGGAGTTGCTTCCTATAACGTTTCGCTAGCACGATTGGCGAATTTCTTCAGAGGTCTCCGATGTTGGATATGGACAGCATCAGTTCATCTACTGATCGAGAAAGCCTTTACCAATTTGTCAAATATTTACTTGTTTTTTTTAAGCGGTGGTTAATATATAATAGTAAGCACATTTAGTATCTAAGGAAATCTAGGCAACCACGACTAATGTCTCGATTAAGCAGAAGTCGGACTGTCCGTGTGGATAGGGCCGCCCACCCGTAATGGACTTTATATAACGTAATATCATCATCCTGATTAAACAGGAGGCACTCTGGGTGTGTTCCGAAATATATTCCAGTATGCTGGTCAGTGCTGATGACGTCAAGGATCGACACCATATTGTACTGATGTGCCACCATATTGTACTGGTGAGAATACGGGCGTGTGTGTATCAGACTTTGCGGATTTTTTTATTGTAAGAAACTTTAGTAACTAGTAACGAGCACAAACACTATTTTCAATATGGTGTCAATTTGATGTCAACGCACTGTCCAGTATATTTCGGAACGAATCAACAGTATGGCGTCGATTCATGACGTCATCATAAATAGTAATGGTGAGTATATAATTTCTCAAATTCTCCTTGAGACAATTGAAGATACGTGAAAAGATGATCTTCAAATTAATTTAACATCAGCACAATCTATAAAACTTGGCGAATTCATGTACCCTTTGCCTTTTTCGTTTTGCTTGACGCAAAGCGAACTGAAGAGGTTCTTCATTATCTGTCTGTTAAAGAAACTGTTGACATATGGAATTAAAAACAAAACAAAAGATGAATTTGAGAAAGATTGAGGTGGAGAAATGACACAAACTATCTTAAGAGCGACCGTATTCATATTAATCCGCTTAAGTTGTCTGCATTTTGTCTGCCTCGTCACCGAGCGGCATGGCCTAGAGGTCTAGACCATTGTTTAGCATTCGAGAGGACGCCGGTTCGATTCCGGGTCCGTCTGCATTGGTCCAAGTTTTTCTGTGGTTTCCTTGGATCACTTAGGCAAATGCTGAGGCAGTAATATTCCACAGATAATCTTTCATTCTCTTCTGTCTTCATTTCGTCCGTCTCATCTTTCTCACCCGAACCACCACCCACCCATTCCCACGATTCCTGAAAGCAGGCTGAAGAGGGCCTTCCGCCCTACCTTCCGGCATAGTCCGGAGGGACTGCCCGCCCACCAGCATTACGGGCTGGTGGGAATGAAACACCCAAAAGTTAAAGTTTTTTCTGCCTCGTCTAATGCAGGGCAAACTGCAGTCCGGTGGACAATCCGTTGAACTAATGGTCAGTTATTTGTTTCTTAATACAAAGTAGGTACATACTGATTAGCCGTGTTCATCCGCATCAGTAATTATTTATTTGAAAAGATTGAAAAAGCGTGACAAGTAGATCACGTTTCACTGGACTCCTTCCGTTTTTATTCCAATTCGATAGTATAGATGATTTTTCCTTATATTGAAAATATGTTTGCAGGTTCCAATTTCATAGAAGTAACGACGAGAAATATGAAACCGAATTAACTATGTTCGCAATAATCAACCTTCGGATTCCTTATTTTTTCCACGGTTTCGATGGAGATCGAGTTATGAAAGGTGATCTGGAAACTTTTAATGATGTACTAGACGACACGTTTTAATTAATACGGAGCAACGAACCGTTGCGATTAAAAGTTTGTTAATTTGCACTCAAAAATTTAATACATGAACTTAATTTCTATTGGACTTTAATTAAAAATTTTTCAATAAATATATTTTGGAATGACCTACTTTTTGTTTTTCAAAATAACCGTGTGAAGCTTCTTTACTGGACAGAAAGATAAAAATTTATTAAACTCTATGCACCAGGGGTAATTGTCATGAACCCTACGGTGTGAAGAATTGCTATGATTAAAATGTACCTAAGTTGAAACAGGGACGGTGGGCGCTGCGAAAAAGAAAAGGTTAGAAGCGTTCAAAATGGTGTGTTACAGGCGAATGATGAGAATACCGTGGATGAAGAAGGTTAGAAATGAAGAGGTATTGAAAGAATAGGAGTGTTAAATTTCACAGGCAGACATTCGAGAACTTACTGTTGTAAGAGGAATATCAGCACACGCGTTAAATTAATAAGGCGTGTTGTTTAATTCTTTGGTGGAAGGTAGAAAAAAAAAATAGAACTCTTGCAGCGAAGTCAACTTAATTATGTATATTTACAAATATGTACAGAATATCTCCAACGATTGATTAGTAATGAAGAAGTGAATCTTAGTTCAAGTGCTGACTTAGTTCAAGTCCCTTCTATTGAAGTCTTTGGTCACATCACTTCTTATATCTAGAACTTAAAAACTAGGAACAAATGCCAAGGGTGTGGCGAATGTCACCATTGGTGATTAAACCTTTAAAACAACTTTGTGGAAACGTACAGGGCGGGGCTTTGAAACTCAAAAATGTTGAAAGAGGGATGTTTACAATCTGTGAAAAATCTATATCAAAAATCAACAAACGGTACTTTCTAACTGTGAAACTCATAAAAATAAACATCCCATAATAAAAATGAAACTGTATTGGGGATCATAAAGGATCCTTCTTGAACCGTTACCCCTATAAACTAATTTAACCATTCACTTTATGCATCTAGCCATCCTCGAAGGGTCTACGGTCAAATAACACAATGCCGCCTAGTAGGTTTGCAAAATATTCTAAAAACTGCATGCAGGAACTTCATGACCTGCATCAATAAGGTCGGCCTTGACTCTGAACAAGGAGAATAGAGGACCCTATGGAAGTCAATAAGAAATAGGCGAGATAAGTCGGTAAAACACCTTCTCAGGCATGAAGGTCTAGTCAGAGACATATTACAGGGAGAAACGGGAGCTAAGAGGGGTAGAAGTACATCCAGATTAGATTACTGTTCGCAAATAGTTACGGATATGGAATATTCTAGTTTTAGGGAAATGCGAAGATTAGCTCAGGATAGGAAAGAGTGGAGGTGCGTGTCCAACCAGTCTTAGGACTGACCACCTTAAAATGATCGACAATGGTATCCATTCGTCATTCATTCATGAGTTTAAAGCTAGGATTCAGTATTATTAAAATGTCTCATGAAGAAAAAGGAATGGCAAGTGCTGCTGCAGCTTTTGCTTTGTGTGGCGGTTCATATTTTACTCAACAAAAGACGCTGGTAGATGTGATCATTATATAAAAGCTGCTTAGTAAAATTTTTATCTACTAAATTTTGAGTATTGCACGTAAGAGATATTTCCGTTCTTTGAATCCCACAGAGCGGATTTACTCGCCAATAAACGTAAAAAGTCAAAAACTAAGTCATTGTCCACTCCATATTTTTATTAGACACAACCAGAGATATGATTTATTTGAAATACTTGTATTTAAAGTGCAAATACAAAATAAAAAATTTTTATCTTGCATTTTGCATTTTATTAGTACTTTTCCAAACGTATTGTCTATTTGTAAAATGCAAAATGCTAGTACATCGATCAGACTATATCAAATGATGAATGAAGTTGCTCACATTGGCCATTGAAGGTATTAGAAGCTTAAAAAGGAAACAAAGACACATTCCGTGAATCTCTTCTAATTATTTAACTGGAAAGAGCTCAAAAAATTCTAACTCCTTGAAAATGGATAATCTAAAATATTGTATCAATATTGTTTTTCGGATTCAATAAAATGGTCCATGGAATTTTAAAATTCCAAATTGATATCAGCACAGGCCAAATCACCACTTATCCTACCTTTAGCAAGGAACTACGAAATTCGATGGATTACGACAAAACAGCCCGCAAAATAATATTGTCACGCAGTGAAATTTTAATGAAATTCAAAAAACCATTTTAGACCTTAAAACATATTTCAAAATTAATTAAATATTTTATAATTATAACGTTGCTATTCTTTTTAAATTAATAGAACGGATATCGAGTTCATTCACTTGCAAGGTAAGCATATTTAGCATCACATAGCAACGAGGCAGCAAGTGAAAACAATTATCTATTTTGTAAGCGGAATTTGACGCTAGTTCGATAGCTCTGGTCATTAGGAAAATTATTGAACTTCGCGAAGTCATCAATAAGGACTTCGTCGTTTTTTGTCATTAGATCAGCAAGACCAGAGAGACTACTGGAACCAGTGAATGACCCATGTTGAACTGTGGTCAAATATTCACTGGTTCATGAAAAAGTTTAGGGCGTGAACGGGAATCGATAGTCGATTCGCGATCAGTCGATTCCGGAACGCGAAGGGATAAAGTCTACCCTTAAAAGGAGTACTGAGTGGCAAATTCTGTGTGTTGGTGACACTACCCCTAGGCGATGATGGTTGCGACGCTCCTGCCAATGTAAGTAAACCAGACTTATCCTTTTTGTGTATTGATCTACATTGAGGGAAAGATCGTTTTTGTAAATATTCAATTCGATTCTCTTTATCATTTTATATGCAATAAAGTTGTTGTTTTAAACTTGCCTATCTTATAATTTTAGTACCTGACCCCCAGTCACGCTTAAATAATTAAACTACATTATAATGGGGTAATTAAGATTGGTAATTAACCGATTAGCGACATAACATAGATGGTCAAGACACCGTTCCCAATTTCGGCTTGACAATATCGAATTGATATACGCCAGCTGTGTAAAATTAAAAACTACACAATATTGTGGTGTGCTAATAAATAAGGATAATCGAAAATTCTGAGGAAACGTTTCGAAAAAATTCACTTATTAGATGAACCCAAAGCTAAAGAAGCTATGGATTCCATTTCTTTCTGGGGTTGTAAGTATTTTAATAAATTTTATAAAAATTTTTGATGTAAATTTTACATCAATAAAATTATTTGCAACCCTATTTGGGCTCTGATCATTCTCGCTTAAGAACTATTTTGGCATTAGTGTCTTTTTTCCAATTAAAACGGGTGACAAAGGCAAATAAGGCAACATAAAGAAGAACTATTTGTTGCTGAACTGAAGAAACTATAACTCATACTCAATTATACTCAATCTTCCAATCTGGTGACATAAACCACCTTTAGTCTAGAAGAAACTCCAAGGGTGCAAATAAAGGTATTGGATTCAGATAAAGTAAGAAAATATATTTAGTAGCACACTTGTGAATTATAGACACCAACATACGCCAACAACTAAGACTAGGCCGTGCCTTTGAAGTTACTGATTCACAACGGTCTGACGCAGCACCGCGGATCTTTTTGCCCCACTTTGGGCAGTACGCTTCGCACGGTTGTTGATGCGGTCAGGCCTGCAATATCACGGGTCGTGGAATGCCACCATAGTACGTTTACAAGAATTTTGCTCATTACCATAGACATATATTAATGGATGTGCCTTAGCCGTATGTCATTGTAATAATTTCTTGGCTCGAAAAGTGAGGGAGATGGCGTATGGTTTCGGACTAGTGCTATCTCTTTCATGACACGCTTACGCACTATCGTGAGAGAGAGAGAGAGAGATGGATATTGTCCGAAACTTCGTTCTTTCTTTTGTTGTACCACAATTATGACCGCTCAGGCATGTCCATTAGTAAACGTCGATGCTCATTACCGATGTTAAGTGCTGCATATCAATGACGAATATTGTCATAGTATTCTCGTCTCTTATAAATTTTAAAGCTGCTAAATCTCAAAAAATTAGTGTGTATCAGCACATGCTGCTGTGACTAAGCATTGGTGCACACGCTTTTATGGTAGTCCACTATTGGATTTTTTGCATATATCGTTTATATCTACCTCCAAAATTAATTTTATACTTATTAAGATGACACTGACGAATAGTCGAAAGTCGGACAGAAAGCATGATGCAAAATAAAGTCAGATGGCAATATTTTTTTTTTTAAGATGGGAAGAGAGAAAAGAAATCGAAAGTATTCATGACAGATATATTAAATGGACATTAAAGCCAGCTAAGAGTACTCCGAGATACCTTTTTAAATCTGAAATACTGACCATAAAATATTCAAAAAGGGCCTTAAAGTACGAAGAAAAAGTATTAAATTCCGAAGGTAACACAATTCTAAAAGAATGTGTAAAATTTAAGGACAATATTTCCGTCTTGCAAAAGGATGAAAAGAAAACCGCGAGGGAGAGATGGAAAAAAGAAAGAATTTTTTAATGAAAAGAGGATGGTCAATCAAACATTATGTATGGAAGCTGGAAAATGAGAGAAGTTTATGGAAGGAACTAGAAAGCTTAACTAAAGATACTGATAAACAAAGAAGGAGAGAGAAAATGAGAAACCTGCAATTCGCTCAAGAGTACAAAATATTATGGAAAGAAATAGAAGTAAAACCTCATTATTTGAAAGACGAAGGAGTAGAGAGAAAAAACGAGCTACAATTAACTGCAAGATTTAGATTGAGAAGTGAAAATAGACCGTGAAAGTATTGGGAAGAAGAAGAAAAGAAATTATGTAGATTATGTAAAAAGGCGCCAGAGACGCTTGAACACATTTTTGAGCGATGTAGAGAAACAGGAAATTCTACAAAAATTGGAAAACTCAACTGGAAGGAATGGATAACCTGAAAAGGATGAGAGAAATCTTGTGGAAGAGGAAAATAGCAGAACAAGAAGACTAACAAAAACCGCACCTTTGTACTTTGTTTATAAAAAACATATTGTTTTAATAAAGCTCATTATTATTATTATATTTTTTTATGGTGTGTACATAAAATA